ACTTCAGTGTTGTTATATTTTCTGGTCCTTCGGGATCATTGATGCCAACACTATAAAGTGTTCAGAATTGAGTACCGCTCAAGCCGGTGCTAGGGGACGTGAGGGATGTTGCATACATTCATTATCCCTCATGTACAGACTCAATCAAACCGAGTCTGCAATTCTTATGTTATTTTGTTGTGATTGATGCTTCCGAGGGATCACTTTGTTTCCAGAATTTTAATAAGACATATATACACTTGTAACACTTGTACATCTTTTCCTTTATAAATTATATAAGCACATATACACATTCATTAAAATAGAGAAATACAGAATCCCTTAAGAAAGTCCAACAAAACAAAATTGAAAATGTTGCAGGCTCAGTTTGATTGAGCCTGTTCATAAAATAGATAAATAAAGAATCCCTAAAGAAAATAGATAAATATAGAATCCCTAAAGAAGGCCAAACACAGCAAAATTGAAAATGTTGCAGGCTCGGTTTGATTGAGCCTGTTCATGGACGGTACTGGAAAGTGCAAGTTACCGTCCACGCCCCCTAGCACCGGCTAAGCAGAATTCAACATTTAAACGTGAAATAGTAAAATTTTGAATTTAGAAACATCCGCAGATGTGTTCATACGGCGGTTATCATGGAACCTTCAATGTGACACTTACGTGCCATTCCATGAAAAGCGGCGTATGGTCCCCAAGTAATAAAAAGCGTGTGCCCTAAACGAGAAAACAATGGGCGGAACTAAATAAAATGGAATTTAGAAAGGGGATCAGAGGTTATGAAGCCTGCGTATCACAGATAAGACGTCAAAAGACAAATTTAAAAAGCAGGCAACATATCCTAAGGGTGATTCAACATTATTCAAGTAGGAATATTGGAACCACCCAACTAGAAAATGCCGAAAAAAATATGAAAAACAAGATCAACAAGGAAAGGCGGCGTTCAATGAACGCAACCCCCATATGACCCAGCAACAAGAACCAATGGCAAGGAGCCCAGGCGGACCCCAAACATAAAAAGGACAGGGCAACGACACGTTAATCATTAAATGATAAATAATTTGTAACTGATTAGGAATTCAAAGAAAATAATAATAGGCCCACAAAGGGGAAGGGGACCGGGGGAAGGGGGGGGGGGTTACATATTGCATTTCATAACTGCAAAAATAAATTGTTAATACTTGTAACAATTTATAACTTCAACATTCACTTGATTAAGTAATAATGAAAAGTTTAGCAAATATTCTAAACTTTAAGATTAAGTTCAATTTTACATAAATACCATAATGTCTTCTTAAGTTCTTAGTGAATAAACATTTCATTAAGCAATATAATAATTTGATCAGAGCATAACATTTAACAACATGTGACATTTAATTATATAACTATCAGTCATACCATAGACTCTACATCATTGCCCTAATGTTCTCTTAGTTAATAAATATTTCAATAAGCAATACATGTATACTAATCTCAACAGAGCATATAATAATTAACAACATTCAATTACATACCTATCAATCATACCATAGACACTTGTGTTATAAAGGAACACAAAATTTGTGTTCTTGCTTAATTAAGAAAGTACTACACACAAAGTATGTTAAAAATTATTTAATCATAAATCTATGAAAAATCCTTAACGGTTATTTATTATTTAAGGTATTTCCTGTCAATAATATTTGCTATTACATTATGCAATAATAAATCAATACTTACTATGTAAACTATGCTAATGAAAATTTACTATTTGTTTTAATTGTATAAAGCTACTGTTTAAAATTATGAATGGAATTTTTTTACTTACTTCATTAGGTACAAATGAAATGTGACTGCTAAAAGGAAACATCTTACACATCAATTGAGGAAAAATAAAGGTATTGTATACATATACAGTCAAACGTGTATTAAGCGACCGGGCAAAGGAAACACCCAAAACGGTCCCTTAATGAAACGGTCTCTTAAGACAGTCAGCATGATATAAAAGTCAAAATTTATAAATGACATCTTTTTATTCGGTGGGATTATTTTTCAACTTCATTTTTATATAAATGTTGAATAATAAGTACGCTCCGATAATCTTAGTGGATGCAAATGTAAAAAATAACTTTCTGATAATTATAAACAGTTTTGATCCATTACGTACATGTTTGACATTTTTTTCAAAATTTTTTAACTTCTCCGTTGTTTTTCCTTGTCTCCAACACGAAAACCCCATTAGTGAAGATGTTTTCTGTTGTGCATTTTTTCATTTGAAATAAACAAACTACATCTATTTGTTACGATTAATTTAATATCTGATCAAGTTCAAGGTCAATTCAATGCAGTCTAAATGTCAACAAGCGAAGCGTATACATCATCTCAGTATGGGCGGAGCGTTGCATTGTTTATCCGATATTATTGGATAATACACGTCACTCGTATACTTATCTTTATTTGCATACGCTAAAACCGTATGGGAAATAGAGTTTTTCACAGGTTTATTGTTGTGTTTTGATTGTTGACACTTGTGACATAACGAGGTGGCGTTCTCACATGACAGGTAAAAGTGGTCGTTTAATGAAAAGATTGATGTCAATTAGGTGACTAATTAGCGGTTGCTGGTCGCGTTGAGCAAAAGTCGCTTAATACATTAAAGATATAGAGAGAAAATGATCGGGGGGAATTTAAAGTGATCGTTTAAGACAAAAGTCGCTTAATACACGTGGTCGCATGGGCAAGTTGTAATTTAAAGATGTGATATTTAGCTTACATACGTATTAATTAATTACAATCTTTATCTGTTCTTCTGTATCTTGGGTACATTTTCATATACCGGTATATATATTCCACGCGAAATTTCATGTGAAGAACACATGACATATCTGTATAATTATAATTCATTTTCTGGTAATTTCTTTGGTGTTTACATGTATTAACATGACAATTCTTTTTATTGTTATTCAATTTCTGATATTTACTTCTGTTACTTGATGATGATATGACTTATGTTTGATAAATTTCAAAATAGTCTGATTAGTTTTTCTCGTTTCTCTGTAGCTATTTTCAACAATTTGAGTAGGCCATAGTATTTACATTCAAGAATTAGTTCTTTCAGTTCTATTTTGTTGTTCGGTAAAAGAGAAGCTGGTGTTAGTTCACCTTGTCTGCTATATCTGAGATGCTGAAGTACTGTTCTGAAATTGTTACTGTCCCGATCGATATATATGTCTTCACTATCAATCTGTAATGCAATCCTTTTAAGCAAACTTTCTTCTGCACATAACGTTCCTCTTGTTGTAGAAAATTTTGTACCTCCAACATTCAAAATTATGATTTCTTGGTGTTTGATTTCCTCTAGTTTCTTCTTCATTTCTTCTGTTTCCTTATTTTCAACTGTTTTTCTATTCTTTTCTTTGTCATACTTTTCTCTTTTCTTTCTCCATTTTTTCTCTTTTCTCCTTTTCTTTTTGTTCATTTCCTAGCCTTTCTTTTTCTTCTTTTTGTCTTCTTTCATTCTCTTTTCTTTCATTATTTAGTCTTTTTATACGCCCGTTTCAAAAACGGGACGTATTATGGGAACGCCCCTGGCGGGCGGGTGGCGTCCAATTTTGTCCAGAACATATCTCCTACACACATGGAGGGATTTTAACGAAACTTGATAGAAAAGTTCACCACTATGAGAAGCTGTGTCGCGCACATGAACCAGGTCTCTAGGTCAAAGGTCAAGGTCACACTTAGAGCCCATTGAAAAACGCTTGTCCGGAGCAAAACTTTTACATGCAAAGAGGGATTTCAATATAATTTGGCACAAATGTTCACCATTGTGAGGCAGAGTGTCGCGTGCAAAATTCAGGTCCCTGTGGCCAAGTTGAAGGTCACAGATAGAGATCAAAGTTCAGGTAAAAATATGAAGATGTGTAGGGGCCATTTAGTCATCATTTATTGAGGGATTGTAACACAAATGGTCATTATCATGACTACAGCTGTGACACATGTAATTTATGTCAATATATGCAAGGTCAAGGTCACTAAAGATGATGAAATATCCATATTTTGTCTGGAGCATATCTCCTACATGCATGGAGGAATTTTAATGTTACTTTTTAGAATTGTTCACCGCCACAAGACGTAGTACCCTGCACATGAACCAGGTCTCTAAGTCAAAGGTCAAGGTCACACTTAGATCTTTTTGAAAAACTCTTGTCCAGAGCAAAACTTCTACATGCATTGAGTGATTTTAATATAACTTAGCATATTTTTTAATCATTGTGATGCTGAGTGTCGTGCATAAAATTCAGGTCCCTGCAACCAAGGTAAAGTTCACACATAGAGGTAAAGTTCCAGATAAAAATACAAAAATATGTATAGGGACAATTTAGTCATCATCTATTAATGGATTGTAACACAAATGGTCGCTATCATGACACCTGGTGTGACACATGATATTTAGGTCAATATATGCAAAGACAGGGTCACTGTAGATGATGAAATATCCATATTTTTTGGAGCATATTTTGTACATGCATAGACAGAATTAACTATTACTTTGTAGAAATGTCACCATCATGAGTCATAGTGTTCTGTAGAGGAACAGTAGATCTAACGTCAAAGTCTTACCTAGAAATAGATCTAAGGTCAAAGTCTTACCTAGAGCTCAGATGAAAAAAAATGTCCACAGCACATCAAAAAAAAAATGCTTTCAGCATATCCGTGCCAGTCGCAAAATTCAGAACCCTCTATAATTTCATGGACTTGAGTATGTTCTAAAGAATGTAACATTTATTTACACATGTTTCATTCATTGGTCAAGATTCTTTACTGTGATAACTCTGGTTTTCTGTAGACTTGGTATTTGTTCATACAGAGACTTCCGTTTCCAAGTTTAAGAGAAAAAATAACAATTCTAAGTCGGACGAGGAGTACGACGCTCCCGTACGGATAACGGATACGGGATTTTAACCTAGATGCCTCACGCGGAATTTTCATTAACTGTCGTTATATTTTATGCAGGGGAGATAATAGCGATACAAAACACGTGGAATCGCAGTTTCCGAAGATTTGAAGGATTATAAAAGCTGAACGTAATATTTCAGCATAGTCAGGACGCCATAAGCACCTGTTGCTATCACAGCATTCCGGGAATATCATCATTAATCAATAAACAGGTCAGTCTTCTTAATTAATAAAGTGGGTGGGGAATAGTTATTTTCGTTTTTCTTTTTCTCGAAATTGTGTATTTCTTTCAGCGAGTTTTAATGACGCAGCGGAATAATTTACTAACAATTAAAACTGTGATGGAGAAAAATAGTAATTGGTTACGTACAAGGAAAAAAACGAAAGTAATTTCAAATATTTTCTGTTACGTAGGTCTAGCGCATCAAGATGACAAATTGTTAAAATTGTTCATTTAGATACTTTCATTAAAGATAGATAATATCACAGACACAGTGTTAAAAGCTTGCACAGTCCATTTCTAATTTTCTTTACAGTAACTTCCAATTCAATTTCATTATTTTACAGTATCATTCCAGATAACAGAAAATATTTACATATGAAAATAGATAAAGTGACCCCACCCACTTTGAAATATAGAGAGCTATCTTAAAGAAGTCAGCATGTGTTTGACAATGATATTTCTGTGTTAACACATTACAACAGGTGGTTTAAATTCATTTAATGTCTGTATATAATATGCATATTATATGTCTGTATATGCATATTATCTGTCTGTATAATGATCCAATCCGTGAAATATTTTTGAAACTACTTGTCCGAATTACCAAATGTAAATGATTTTCCTATACACATTAGTAACTTTTTACAAAATTTGCTTGTCCGAAACAGTAATTACATGCCCCGGGTAACCGGACAAGTGCTAATTTCGCAGATACATATGTGCAGATATATGCTTATACAGTAAACTCGTCATTAAACATGTTGTATATTTTGCTACTATATATTTTGTCATTAAATCTAAAAAGATGTGATTTCCTTAGTAACAACTGCGTTTGGAGTTTTCTGATTTTGATACTGGACTACATCTGAGCAAAATATAATAACATTAAAGAAATATGGCTGTTATAGCTTAAGATGATTGCATTATAATTTATAAAGTTAATAATTTCATTTTGAGGCAAAGGTGTGAGATATAAAATGTTTATACTTTCTTTTTATTCCTGAATAACTAATGGTTTTCAACATTTTATGCATACACGCATCAATTTAATTTTTACTGGCAATGCAAATTTGAAATCTTTACATAATGGACTTATTCTCAATTTCTTTGAACAAAAGAATGGTGTTTTCCGTGTCTGAAAATGGCCAAGATTGTGCCAATGCAGTTGGAAATCTGTCAGGTACTATTTTATATTCTTAGGGTGTTGTGTGTACAGTATGATGTGGGTATAAGGGCACACTTAGGATAATACCAAACAGAATTGGTGTTTTTAAAACTTACCGGTAACAGAAATTTCCTATTAATATATTACAAATATTTCATGCACCATTCCTTTTGGTTTTGTCCCATTAGCATTACGTCTAGCTTCAGTGTATCTTGCCCCAGTCTCGTCATTTTTGTTTTGTCTTGCTGTTCTAGTTGTTTGAAATACAAAAATATACTCACCTGTAACCTTTAAGCTATTCACTTTACTTTGGTAGTGTGTGCAACAGACTAATTTACTGTAGCATGTTTATTGTCATGGATTTAGTGTGATATAATATATATTCTAAGGTGGTTAAATGGTAATGGGTTTATTTTGTAAGGCCAATAACCTGTGTAGTAGTAACTGTGTACATGAAGTAACTGTAAAATCAGATAAATGGAGAAATGGTATCAATATTCTTTATTACAGTAATGTCCGGTTTTACTGATACCACTTTGTAACAATATATAGGGCAAAATGTCTGCTGTCGTCCTTGCTTGCCAAACATGGGTTTATCGATACCATTACTTAATTAAGAAAGTCCGAGATGCTTAATACATTATAAAATTTGCCTCAAACAGATTGTTTTTACTTGTTTACAATTGCAGGCAGTAATAATTTTGATAATCTTACGAAAACTTCAACATTCTTTTAGGTTATTATAGTCAAATTTTCCTTCCTGCTCTCACTTGAATAGTTTCATTCCACAAAAAAGCAATAACATTTATGGTCTTAAATTATGGAAAGAGTAACTTTTAATCATGATGTTAAAATTTATGCAGAATATTTGTATATAGCTGAACTGCCTCGATAGTCTTTACACTTGCAATTTAAACATTTTAAACGATCAAGTTTACTTTGTAATCTTTTGTATCTGATTTTGTAGTAAGTCTGCATTTTTATATCTTCCTTTTAGGTTTATGTATTGTCTATGGTCTATTTATCATGTAGTATTTGCTTCTAAAATGTAGCTAGTAAGAATCTGCTTTGACCTGTGATGAAGCTTGTATCCATATGGAATTTGCTATAATTTTACACATTCTCTTTAGGTCTTACCTTATATAGATGTCTGTTAGAAAACTCACTCTCTCGTTGCATTGTTTTCACATAATAATACCTCTCATCATTTGCAGTTCTATACATCCTGTGATGACAAACACCATGTTTCCCGTACTTCTACTGTTTGCATGATTAATTTGTGCGGCTTGTACAATAGCGACCTTAACACTTGGTAGCTTATATTATTATATTTTCAGACGTTCTAGATCAAGTATCTGAAAAGTTCTGAGAAAACTCCTGAAAAGAAAACGTGGCATGCATCCAGCATTACAAAGCATGCCATCATCTCTGCAGCAAAAACCCATTTTCATTATGGCCGGACCATGCAGAGTCCGTCACATGCTTGGCTCCATCGGTTATTGTCCACTCATTAAACTTTATAGCGCACGTTTAATAACTTGCCTGGTCTTCATTTACCAAATGTTTCTACTGTGGTCAAATTAACTTTTGCCTGTCATACATCTCATAAGTCCATTTTTTTTAGTATATCTAACCAACCATATGAGACAATTCTAGTAGCTGTTTACTTATCAATAAACTGCGAGCATGTATGCTTGTTCTGCAACATTGAATGTTTATTTACACCAATTTTCACATATATGTGTGTTTACTATGCCTTGGCACATTAACAACACTAACTCCATAGTAGATAAAATGTTATTAATTTCAGGTGAGCTCTGACAATAAACTCCTCAAAAAGGAACATGTATGTCTCAAGCTTACAGAGCCAACCCGCAACATACTGCTCATAAAATGACATTTATTATCAACCCATCCAAAGCCATCACAATTGATCAAGGGGAAGGTCATCTCCAGCTAAAATGTCAAAACAGAAGCAAAAAACTCCAGCCTTATCTGGGGGATACGCAGGCCTTCATAACCTCTTGATCCCCTTTCAAAATTCCATTTTATTTAGTTCCGCCCATTGTTTTCTCGTTTTAGGGCACACGGCTTTTTATTCACTTGGGGACCATTACCCGCTTTTCATGGAATGGCACGCTGTAAGTGTCACATTGAAGGTTCCATGATAACCGCCGTATTGAACACATCTGCGGATGTTTCTAAATGTTTCAAAATTTTACTATTTCACGTTTAAATTGTTGAATTCTGCTTAAGGCCAGGTGCTAGGGGGCGTGGACGGTAACTTGCCACTTTCCAGTACGTCATGAAACAGGGCTCAATCAACCGAGCCTCAAATTTTTCAATTTTGCCGTGTTGCGGCTTTCTTTGGGGATTCTGTATTATTCTATTTATGATCACATCCGTGTTATTTGTGCCGTGTGGCGGCTGTTAAAAAGTCTCCCCGTACATTTAATCAATGATGTTATATTTTCGATCCTTGAAGATCGTTCAGCACGACATTATTGTTGTGCTTGTGGTATTTTTAGTTTCAACTTTTTCGGCATTTTCTAGTTTGGGTGGTTCCAATATTCCTCACTTGAATAATGTTGAATCACCCTTTAGCGATATGTTGCCTGCTTTTGAAAATTTTGTCTTTTGACGCTATCTGGTGAATACGCAGGCTTCATAACCTCTGATCCCCTTTCAAAATTCCATTTATTTAGTTCCGCCCATTGTTTTCTCGTTAGGCACACCTTTTTATTACTGGGGACCATACGCCGCGTTTCATGGAATGGCACGTAAGTGTCACATTGAAGGTTCCTATGATAACCGCGTATGAACACATCTGCGATGTTTCTAAAATGGTCAAAAATTTACCTATTTCACGTTTAAATGTTGATTCTGCTTTAAGCCGTGCTAGGGTGGGTGGACGGTAATGGCACTTCCGGAGGTTAGCCGTCCATGAACAGCTCAATCAAACCGAGCCTGCAACATTTTCAATTTTGCCGTGTTGGGCTTTCTTTGGGGATTCTGTATTTATCTATTCTATTATTTGAGGAATTCACAAACAACTTGCACACTTTCAACAATGACCTGGATACAACGCTGAAGGCTACACTGTATTCTTTGATGTTTGGAGAAATTGAAACTGCATAGGAAGATGTCAAGAGAATCAGGAGGAGATTAGCAGCTTTCTTAAATCAGTCAACTTTCATCCTATCTGATATTCAACTGAAACAAGCTGCACTGAATCAGAAAGTCTCAAGCCTTGAGGCTTATAATCTACACCTACATAGAGAAAACAATACTCTGAACAAGTGAATAGGTTGAAGAAAGAGTGCGAGTTCAAGGACTTATCAACAAACATGTTTGATGATGATATGGATGGAAGTGATGCAAAAGGAAATCAGTCCAGGAAAAACAGCTCTCCTCTGACATAGATGAAACAGAAGACACAAAGTCTATTGACTACCACAGCCACTCAGATTGCAGACAGTAACTGATACTCTCATGAGAAGAATGACACTGAAACTTTATAAATATGCATATATACTTAACTAGTTTACATTGTCGTTAAAATGACTGCATTAACAGTGAGATAACACTTAATGCCCCTTGGTGTTCCTTTAATACATTTAGATACATTAGTATCCTTTCCTTTATTTCTTTGAATTAGTTCACATTGTTGTTAAAGGACATTCACATTTACAACGGGATAGCAGTTAATATCCCTTGCATTCCTTTTATAGAGTTAGATACATTAGTATGTTTCCTTCAAAGGACATTTGCATTTATAGTGGGATAACAATTTATATTCTGTGCGTTGCTTTCATACATTTAGAGACATTAGTATGTCTCCTTATTTCTTTGATTAGTTCACAATGTTTAGTTAAAGGACATTTGCATTTACAGTGGGATAGCAATTTATATGCCATGTATACATTGCTTTTATACATTTAGATGCATTAGTGTGCTTTTCCTTTATTCTTCTACATTCTGAAATGCTTATTTTGTATTGTATATATTACTTACTTTGCTTTGTTCTTTTTCTTAAATCAACCTCTCCAAAAATGTTTTGTTAAATGTTTTATGTGATAGCATAAATCTGTACTTTTCTTGAAGGGACTTGGATTTATTTTGAAAGGCAAATGTATGGAGCCACAAGCTTATTGTTACTTCCTTGCACTTAAAATGCACCCCTGAATGACTCCCAAGAGTATTATGAAAGCGCTTGATTACTGAATATTGTACTTATTTCAGAGAAAAATATTCTTTACATAATCCCCACCAAAAAAAAAAAAAAAAAAAAAAAAAGTCTTGCCATTGGGTTCTTGTTGCTTGGTCATATGGGGGTTGCATATGACCAAGCAACAAGAACCCAATGGCAAGACTTTTTTTTCAACACCACTTTATATTAAGTAATTTCGATGTTTATTTTAAACGTGTTGATAGATTTTACTATTTCTCCTTCCTCATGTTTAATGATTATTTTGACGTTGCCAGTTTAAAATTGTTTCATGTTTAACAATTGTTTTGACCTTAGCTGTTTAATTTGTATGTTTCTAGCTGTTTAATTGTATGTTTCTAGTAAAGATAAATAAATTTTAGATCCAACTCGTGAACCTTCCTCAACTGCTACAAAACACCAGCTTGTGATATGGATAGAAGAAGGAGAGAGAAAGAAAAAGAAAGAAAGAGGGTTTCCAGACTCCCGAAGGTATTTGTTTTTTTGCTTGCCGTTGACTTTCAATCATGACAGTACATGCATTTCAGTCAAACCTCTTTGAAGCACAACTGATGCTTGCTCTTTTAAAAAACCGACTCATCTTCCCCTTACAAAATAGTAAATAAGTTAATTAACTATGCCAAATGTATATTTTTCCCTTCTTGATATATCCTGTCCTTTACAACTACTTCTATTTTTCAGGAAAAACACATTGGTGAAGGCAGTACACAACTTCCAGAAACTGCCAATGATTCAACTCGATCCCAAACAGCCTTGCTACACAGACAAGCCATACCTCAAGAGGTAGTGTATTTTTTCATGTTAAATCAGTTTTTGTTATAGTTGGTCTTATCAAGTGTGTCTTAAAACCTCAGAAGTAATATTAATGTGAATTAAAGGCTCATAGGATATCAGTTTTAGTTATTTTTATACTTAACAGTTACTTCTATTTTACAGGAAAACCACCAAGGTCAAGGTTGTACATCAGCTTCCAAAACCTCCAGTAATTCAACTCCATCCCAAACGGCCATGCTACATGAAGAACATATAGCTAAAATGGTAGGTTGTTTTTCTGGTTAAATAGTGTCAGTTACAGAGTTGTATTAAACGCTCATAAGATATCACCTTCACTTTCTACACTTAATTTCTTTATTTTACAGGAAAACCACCAAGGTGAAGGTTTTGCATCACTTTCAGAAATGGCCATTAATTCAAAAAATAGATAAATACAGAATCCCTAAAGAAAGCCCAACACGGCAAAATTGAAAATGTTGCAGGCTCGGTTTGATTGAGCCTGTTAATGGACGGTACTGGAAAGTGCAAGTTACCGTCCACGCCCCCTAGCACCGGCTTAAGCAGAATTCAACATTTAAACGTGAAATAGTAAAATTTTGAATTTAGAAACATCCGCAGATGTGTTCATACGGCGGTTATCATGGAACCTTCAATGTGACACTTACGTGCCATTCCATGAAAAGCGGCGTATGGTCCCCAAGTAATAAAAAGCGTGTGCCCTAAACGAGAAAACAATGGGCGGAACTAAATAAAATGGAATTTTGAAAGGGGATCAGAGGTTATGAAGCCTGCGTATCACAGATAAGACGTCAAAAGACAAATTTAAAAAGCAGGCAACATATCCTAAGGGTGATTCAACATTATTCAAGTAGGAATATTGGAACCACCCAACTAGAAAATGCCGAAAAGTTGAAACTAAAAATACCACAAGCACAACAATAATGTCGTGCTGAACGATCTTCAAGGATCGAAAATATAACATCATTGATTAAATGTACGGGGAGACTTTTTACAGCCGCCACACGGCACAAATAACACGGATGTGATCATAAAATAGATAAATACAGAATCCCTAAAGAAAGCCCAACACGGCAAAATTGAAAATGTTGCAGGCTCGGTGTAATTGAGCTCCATCAAAAACAGCCTCGCTTCATGCACGACGCATACCTGAAATGGTAGTTTATTTTCTTGTTAATAAATGTTTTTGTTAATAGAGCTGCACTTTACATTACCTGTGTTTTAAAAACTTGTATCACTTCCATTACTCCATATCTAATCACTACATCTATATCATTTGTATAAAAATAGCTCATTACGTATTTTCCACTTCTGATTATTATTTACACTTAATAGTAACTTTATTTCGCAGGAAAAAAACCCTAGTGAAGGTTGTTCATCACTTTCAGAAACAGTCAGTGATTCAACTCCATCTGAAACAGCCTTGCTGCACAGACAACACTCAGCTGAAATGGTAGTTTATTTTTTCATGTGTATTAAAAGCTTCATTTTTAGCTCAACTTTTAAAAAAAAATCGAGTTATTACTATAGTCGCGACGGTGTTGCCATTCCCGTCCGAAATTTAGACAAAACCTTCAAGTAGACCAGACTGAATAACCTTGGCTCATAGATGGTCTTGAGTTTCAAGGTCAAATTATTGATTTTTGCTTGAATTTTATTCTTGGACAAAAACAACACTTAATACAAAACCGGCATACTTGGACAAAACAACATCTAGCGCCAACCCGTCATTGAGTAATTCAAAAATGTTAATCCTCTTTGGAGTTAAAAAAAGTGGTGGCAAAATCTGATTACTACATCTATACCATTTCCACAAAAAATAGCTATACCTTAAGTGATTCACCCAAATTTTTAAGGGTACATGTATTATTAAACCTTCCATGTAGACTGCAAAATTTCTTAATATCCCACTAATTTCTAACAACACCAGTCCTGCCATATTTTACACTGTTTAAACAATTTCTCCTCTTCAACTTTCAGGATGTTGGTGTCCACGAGTACTCTTTCCATGGAATGAATATTGATGATGTACTCCGTGGCGACATAGATATCCAAATAATGGACTACTCTTGTCAGCTTTTACGAACACAATATCAGTGTATACATGGAATGCTCACTCCATCCTACTTGCACTCGCTAGTGTCTAGTGGACAGAATATTGCAAAGAAAATTCCTAAAAATGTTAAAGCTGTACAGATGCATTATATTACAGGGCATTACACTTTGTCAGCTAGAAATCATGAAAACATTACTGTTTTTGATAGTTTACCATCTCCAGCACACTTGAAAGAACTTATTCCACAACTGTCTCTACTCTATGAAAGCTTCAGCCTTGATGGAATTCACTACACAACACCCCAGCATCAAGGAACAACTACACTATGTGGAGTTTTTGTTGTTGCAAATGCTGTTTTTTGCCTGAATGATATTGAAAAATAGATAAATACAGAATCCCTAAAGAAAGCCCAACACGGCAATATTGAAAATGTTGCAGGCTCGGTTTGATTGAGCCTGTTCATGGACGGTACTGGAAAGTGCAAGTTACCGTCCACGCCCCCTAGCACCGGCTTAAGCAGAATTCAACATTTAACATGAACTGGTAAAATTTAGAATTTTGAAACATCCGCAGATGTGTTCACACAGATCCACATAAACAGAACCTAACTGTGTCTAAAATGCGTTCCCATTTTCACCACTGTTTAATAGCTAGTGATTTTACTATCTTTCCAACTACAAACTACTCTTCATTGTTAAGTTCTTATTTTAAAGACCAGATGAATCGGTGTAAAAATAACAAAAGAAAATGCGATAATGATAATAAATCTGTCAAAAGTACTCAAACCTATAAAAAACAGAGAAGAGAAGACGAAAAGTATAGACTCCATGAGAATGCTCTTCGGAAAATTCGAAGAGCTGATGACACTTACAGAAGCCTTGAGAATGAAAAGAGAGGAGTAAGTAGAAATCTAAAGAGGAAAGATAGTAATTGTAGACATGAAGAAAACCTAAGAAGAAACCAATCTAGAAGTGAGAAGAGGAAAGACACTAACTATAAAACTCAAGAAAACGTCAAGAGGAATGAAACGAGAAGTGAAAAAAGAAAAGACACTAACTATAAAACTCAAGAAAACGTCAAGAGGAATGAAACGAGAAGTGAAAAAAGAAAAGACACTAACTACAAAGGTCAAGAAAACGTCAAGAGGAATGAATGGAGAAGATGAATGAAAAAAGAAAAGACACTCTTTCTTTTAAAGTTAATTCGTTCAATATTAAAAACTAAAATCATATTTCATCGAGGACAGTAAAGGCAAACAAAAGTAATCATTTATTCATTCATTTAAGAATGCATTAATCAGAAAAAGTAAGAAAAAAGGGATACAAAATGAAAAACGAAAATGAAGCATAATGATAATTTTCCACATGAAATGAAGCATGTTAGAAGATCAGGGGGAATTAAAAATGCAATAACACTTTCTGAATAACTAAAACATGTTTGAAATTAGTTTCAGCACGCTTAACTCAAATGATTAAATTAAGCATGCATGATCCAATCATATTATAAATATTTTTTTTTACAGATTTTTTATGATTTATACACATTATTTTAAGAAAACCATAATGTTAGAAGGAAATTAGTGTTTTTAGATACTAAATTTAAATTGAATGATTAAGGTTTTGCATTTCATTGCATTAGATAAAAACAAATAAAATAACATGATAATTCTTTATATTGTAAGGCTGTAATGAAACAAAAAATAAATTTAAAAAAATGCATTTTTTCATTATATAACTGAAAAAGAGTGCGAGGAAGACAAACATATGATCATATTCAATGCTTAATATTGATAAGCTAGAAAAGCCTTTAAAAATGGTAAGAAAGTTTGCAAATTCAGTACATAATCAATGCCACAAAGATTAAAAATAGCACCAAAGCTAGTTATGAAATGGATGATTTATCAAAGGCTATAATAACTTTCTCAATTTTCTGAAGTAATGCACAGAAAGGCAACTAACAAATCTGCGTTCACCGTTTGGGCTCATATAATATTAGACATATTTTCTCATGTACAAAACTTCTTTTCGTTAAAACGTTATACGATCGTAACAACAGCTGGAAAGAATGGTAGTTGCTAAATCGTAGCCTGGAAAAATATTTTGTGTCTGTCATTTGAGTCTATATCGTAGTTTCGGTACGTTATTTATAATATTCGTTATTTGTGTCTATATTGTCAAACCGGTACATTATCTGTGTCTATAACGTCAGACAGTTCGTCATTTTTTGTGTGTTTATCGTCAACCGGTGCGTCTTGTGTGTGTGTATATCATCACCCGGTCTTTAGTTAACAAACAAATTTTCAGGATGGAGATCATATGATCCCTATTTTATTTATTTTCATTAATAGACTGAAGAAGAAACTAACAGGTCATGTTTTTGTCACTTAAAAATATAAGAAATGCTATTTTCATTGACTGATATAATGTTTCTTTCCCGACAAACGGAAGTAAAAAGAGAAAACCAATCGGATGCTTGCCTGAGCAATAAGTCTTTATTTTAAGAGAGATCTCGTCATTAAATTTGATCAAGTTTGTTTCAATGAAACATTAAGATATTTGTTTTCATTGCTTAAAGTGACAAAGATCTCTTTGCAGAAGAGGAATTTTGTTCATATTTAATGGTCTGCAAAACAACTTTGTTCCTAGTAATTGGACAGATTGAGAAAGGAACAAATAGCTATCGTTTTTGTCAATTTCAATAATAGATAATTGATATTTGTCACTGACTGATATTATGTTCCTTTTCTATCCAGAATAATTCGGAGACTTAAAATGGAGAAAATCCCTTAAAAAACCAACACAGCAAAACTGAAAATGTTGCAGGCTCGGTTTGAATGGGCCTATACATGAACGGTACTGGAAAGTGCAAGTTACCGTCCACGCCCCCTAGCACCGGCTTTAGTCTCAATGATCTACGCTCACAGTTGTTTTTAAATAAGAGTAGGAAGTTTACACGTTTCTGACCATTGCCAGGTAATCAAATAATGTAAACAGCAATATCAATAAAAAGAAAGAAAAAAGTTTCAATTTGTAGTAATTTTAATCCCATTACATTTACGTCAGTTTTCTGTATTTTACTAAAACTTTCAATGAATTTAACGACGATAATTGTGGAATACCTACAAGAAACTTGTATCCAATCGAACAATACAATAAAGCATACATTTTGTAGATTGAAAGCTTATAGATAACAATTTAGCAAATAGATATATGTTTGTTATTATACATGTATAAGTGTCATGCAATAATATTGAATAGCTGGCAACATTGAAGGTAAAACAGTTTTGTGTATCAGTCCTTACTCATAAAGTTTATGGAAAATATATGGCAGGGTAGGACTGTTTTGGACTACAGACCTTGTTACATAACGTACGTAAATCATGTCTAATAGATGATAATCTTAAACAAAACACTTAAAAATCAAACTCACATACGGATTCATCATGCTTATATCGTAGAAAATGTCTCATGACGCATATACTACAGTAGCATGTACCTTACTTGCTAAATTTATTTTGCCGTCAATGCTGCGGGTCCAAAGTCCACCAGGGATTTGGGATTCTTTCATTTGAGGAAGCTATCCAGCTAGCTTACGGAACGGAGGTGGTTTTACTTGGGTGCCCTTTTATGTCTGAAGTTATGCGGATTTCATTACATTTTCACTATAAACTTTGAGGCTGTAAGGTAAATTTTATTATTATAGCTGATTTACATTTTCAATAATCTGGAAATCGTATAAAAATCGTTATTTTTTATTGCTGTAAGGTATTCATGTATTTAGATTAGAGCGACTGTCTTATATGATTGATAATTGGATGGATATCTGGCACTTATCTAAAGTATAATTATATTGAAAAAGATCGGTAATTATCTACAAATTGAATCATATTGTAAAATACTTTATGATAATGACATTTTCTTGATGTTTATTTAACATCATAACATTGATGTTCAAGTGGAGTGATTAGGCGGTCATTCACACAATTGTTTTTATCATGCTTCTTTATGAATGTCTAAACAGGTGGAAATTATATCGACTCGAACTTTTCTTCCTATTTTACATTGAGCACTCCCGTCTTTAAGCATTGCTTAAGTAACACTAAATACACATATAAAAAACAGAGCTATATATATATTTTTAATAATGTAAAATATAAGCTATCCAATCACACACACCCATATACAGAATTCTAAAAATACCATCTGTTAAGCCACTTAGACAATACGATTGTCCCATGTAATTTAACGTTAAACATACACAAATCATGTTTACATCTGTATTGTGTTTTGCATGACGTAAGTGGTTTCTGTCCGACACTTTGTTAATATAGCTTATCAGCTTTTCTAAATATATCAGCAAAATTGAACAAATGCAGTTATGGCTGTGATTGCTTGTAAAACAAACGTGCTTTACAATATTTTTCAGTATCTCCTAGTATTTTTGTACACATTTATGGCATGTAAAACAAGTTTTATGAACAACGTGAAATTGTTAACATAAAATTATACAATTATGCTATGTATTTAAATGTAGAACTGCACTGAAAAGGCACTAGCTTATTTTTTTCTCTGAATATTAAAAAAGAAATAAAATATAATGTTTTTTAAAAACATCCTGGATAACTTTCTCTATTGTCGATAGTAATATTTTTGAATTCATGTACAGATTTTAGAGCTGGCTAACACATAATAAATGTTTTATGTGATAATAATCATTACTTCATTCTTCGTCTAAAGGACTTCTGTCAAGTTTGTTCAGCTCATGACCCCATGGCCAAAATTGGTCTCAACTTTTCCTGATTTCCAGTTGATTTTACATTGGCTTAAACAGTGTCTTCTTGTTCTTTCCTTAAATCAAAATTTACTTAATGTGAATGAATTTCCTTTATATTCCTTGAACAATAACTCGTAACAAAGTAATGATAAAAATAGCTTTTTATGCAATCAACGGATTTTGCAATAACCTTGACGAAACAAAAAATATTCAAGAAAAACTGAAACTTAAAGTGGTTGTCAAGATCCTTTAAAATTTAGATTATTGGGAATGGATGTCTTAAAGATTTGCCTCAAATGCGTTTTAATTAATATTTTTCATGTTTGTGTGAAATAAAATCACTGAGATAATTGTCTGTTATTTCTAACATCAATGTTAATAATACCATAATTTAGTTTTACATGTTTCGAGATAAAGAGGTTCATGTCTTCAGTTAAATTTACATCAACAGCTTCAGTAAAGCTGAACTCGGTTAATAAACATATATTTTGGAAATACATACGTTTATAATGTTCAAGGCAATAAAATAAACTACCTGTATAAGCAATGGAATTATTATTACTTTTTTAAAACTATTTTACAACTTACAGAAATTTTCCTAAAAAAAGTA